CTGATACTAGTCATTGACATTATGATTAATCTTAGAATGTGATCTTAAAAATTATAACAAGCATAATAATGAATGCACAGGTCTACTGTCATGTTTAAAAAGAATGACATTCTGGTCATATCTAGTAAAGAGATTGGAAAATATAATAGTGCTAAATGCATGATCATTCAGCCAGTGAAAGTTGTGTACCTGCTGAATGTGAGGCACAGGATTAGGAACTGCAAAGGGTAAGAACATGGATCAGAAATAGACCTTACCTTCAAGAAGCCTATCATCTGGGTTTTAGTGTAAGCGACTATAAAGTGAAGTAAGCAATAGGTGATATGGTGAAGGTACACATATAGGACTTGCATGACAAGGATCAGGCTGTGACTGAGTAGAAGGTAGTATTTGAAGGGCATTTGAAGATTTGGTAGGATTTGGAAATATGGAGATGGATATTAGGACCTTCCAATCTTCTTGAATGACTTGTTCAAAGGAAGAGATCTATTTTGGAGAAATGTGAAATAAAGTTGGAAGGCCATATTAATAATGGAATATGCAAAATAAGCTGAGGATTTTGAACTTCATTAGTTAGATAGCAAGGGTCATAAAAAATATAGAAAAGAGATTTGCTAGTGCCAGCTTTGATTTTTTTTGCTTAAGAAAATAAGTTAATATAGGGAAATCAGCATGCAAGTTGATTTTATAGTCAACAAACTGGCAGTGCATACCTCTACTTACTGTAACAGATAAATTGATCAAAGATTCCATGTCTCAGTGCGTAAACATTCCAGAGAAAGCACAGATAACTCATAAGGATGTAATCAAGTTACTGTAAGACATAAGGCAAGAATAAGATGTTTTGATGTCTTCCAGATTAGGTCTACCTTCCTCTTTCTTCATGAGATCATATTTTGATTCTTTTAATTGAAATGAAATGCAAAACAACCATGAGGTACCACCTAACACCCCTGAGGATAGCCCAAATCAGCAAATCAGAGAGCAACAAGTGTTGGAGGGGCTGTGGTGAAGTAGGAACCCTCCTCCACTGCTGGTGGT